AAACTGGTTCAACAACTCGGGAGAGAAAAAATAAGAGCGCTACGCGGTGCCAACATGCTGTGTCACCCCTTGCGGTAGAGCGCCGCGCGACCGACCAGAGGCATTGAAAACATAAAATGTGAGAGAACATGCGCGGCGCGCAATAAATTGAGTAGTGAAATGATAACAGCTTAAAAATAAAACACGAATGCTATAATTATACATACTTATAAATGTATGCGCTGGTAAATTTTCAACAAATTGCCAATGCAAAGCACGTTGAGCGAAACCCGCCTGCCTAAACTACCTCACTATTGTACGAGTACTATATATACGGGTGGTATAACGCCATTCATTGCTTTGTCATCCGCGCCATCGACCGGTCGGTCGTTATCGATAACGCGCAAGCATATGTTGCTGCCATATGTAGGTACACTATATACCCTTTGGTTGCAAGCGCGCCTGCCAGCTGCAAGCAAACAAGTTAGCGCGCGCGTGCACACAAGCTGACGGCGTGTAACCGCCAAACTAACAGGCAAACAGACTGATACAAGGCGAAATAGCAAGCGCTTGCTGACGAATAATTACCGCACAAATTTTTACCTTCGGAATATAGGTTACGTGCTAGCCGGCAGGCCGGCGGACAGCCAGCCCAGTGGCTCACCACTACCAATACTATATATAACTGGGAGAGAGAGAGAGAGAGATTTCTGAGAGCAGGCGAACTGTTGATGGAACCGGCTCGACTGGTCGTGGAACAGTGTCACAAAAGTGTGACTAAAGTATTAAAAAATACATTTTTTTTACTCCTACGACAACGAGACTCGAAATATTTAAATAGATCGATAGGTGTCAGATATTGACATTTTCTTTCTGATAATGCAGCTATGATTGAAGAGGTATGCTGGTTTTTTCGACATCCTTATGTGTCGAGGCTAAATCTAGAACATGACTCTGTTCTAGCTGAACTGTTATCCAGACTTGACCCCAATATACCCAACATATGCCCGGCTTGTAAAGGCAAACCAACCCACTTATCTGATACCCTATTCCTTTTGGCCGGTCCCCGTCGAAACAGCACATTTTGCTGACCCTACCGTTAGCTGAGCCTCACGATGGCGATCGATAAACTTGCCGATGCAGGTGTTAGTAATACCGTTCTTACTGACCGATCGCAATATTTGTTTTTTTCTTTTTATGTCCGTATAACTTTGGACCACATGAGCCGGTTTCTTTAAGAAGATACCTCAAGAGTGGTCCCATACTTATTTGGTTAAGTTCCGATCATTGGATCACGAAGAAATTAACGAATTTCCTAAATTTTTATTGGAGCATTGAATTCGGTTCATTTTTTTGTTAAAAATTACTTGTTTTGATAAAGGACATTTTACATAATATGCTCCAGCTTTTAAATTATTGAACGCAGTCGAAAATCTGGTAATAAGGTAAGGCTGCAGCGTTATAAAGTCCAGGTGGGGAATGTATTAGCTTCACATGGCATATCAAATTGCCATCAGTTGGCACAGAAAAGAAAGGACTGGCGTGCTTTGTTAGACGGTTAGACCGCCATACATTATTCATTTCTCTCATTTCATAAAAACGGGCTAAAAATATCAGGAACCAATAACAAAAGGTGTGATCGAAACTAAATGTCGTTCTTGTAGTTTTCAAAATCAAAACCAAAATGAGAACAAAACTATCGAGAACGTTCTCAATGAGAATTATATAGGAACAAAACCATGTGGAACGCTTCCGAAGAGAACAAAATGCGAACAATACTTTCGAGAGCATTTCTAAGGGCACTAAACTGGAACAAAAGTCTAAGAAACTTTATCTCGAGGAACAATTTGGTATTTACAGTCTTAGAAATTTTCTGACAGAGAACGAAACGGGAACAAATCTTCTCTAAAGTATTTGCGAAGAATGTAAGCGAGAACAAAATTGGTCACATAGCGTTCATTAGTTTGAAATGTTTGAATATTAAAATTAATCAAAAAAGAACTGAAAGATAATTATGGAAATTAAGTCAACGAAAGACTTAAGACACGAACGTTTTTTGTGCACAAAAATTTGAATTTTTTTCCATAAATCGAAAGTTCACCCTAATGATAAACGATCTGGAAGTTGAAATATCCCCGAATTCCTCCGGCTTAGAATATTAATTCTGAAGCGAGTTTTCATTCCAACACGCAGCCTCTAAATCGGTCAAAAATTGTTTAAAGGTTTTAAATTTAGCCAAATTTAATTTCCTTACAAATTCATAAATTTTCTAAAACACACTCCATCCTTGTGGATCTATATTTTCTATATTTCTGTAATAAAAAGAGTGACAGACTGCCTTAAATAATTTTTTTTTTTTTTTATGACCATCGAAACTCCTTTTCCAAACACTGTGCCGGTAAAGTGAACAACCAACATGTATGTATGCAAACAGCGATTGCATACCAAATACATATAAAAATACAGAAAATGCATCAAATATAAAAAGAGAGCGAGAGAGCGGAATTGCATAATAACATTGAGAATGATACATACTCGTACAGAAATAGCCACTGTTGGTGGTGGTTTGCTGCTTGATAACAGCGGAGAGCCCTATTAGACGACCAGCTATATTTATACGTGATAAGACTGTGTTTTTGAGAATAGCAGCCACCCCAACAATGTCATGGAAAACATATTTATTTATAACTATATACATGTACATATGTATATACATAGATGCATATGTATTTATTTGTGGACTTATGTTAGAATATAAATCCATCATTACACCGTGCGACACAAAATTTTAAACACAAAAAATCAAATTAGCTAACTTTAGGCCAAATATGGAAGAACTGCATTTCTTATTTTTCTGTCTGACGTGAGGATTTTTTTAAAGGAAATTTAAATTTTGCGATAATTATTTTTGAATAAATTATATGTTGAGGACTAATATACACTCGACCACATTCACGACATTCATCTTTCTAATTTTATTAGCTTAAAAAAATTAAATTAATTAAAAGGAATACGTATTCGTCCTTGCTAACAAAAAAATTTTATTTTTTTAATTCTACAGAATTTTCTCTTCCATTTCGTACCCATTTTTCATTCTATATTGCCCTGAATTTTTTGAATAATTCTTGGAATTAACCATAACTTTGAAACTACAAAGTCTTTTTAAAAAATATCCTGACGTCAGAGATAAAAACTAAAAACGCAGTTTTACTATATTTAGCCCACAGCTACGTGGTATATTGATTACTTCATTCGTTTCGAATTTTTTTTTTTTTGTTTTTGTCGCACGGTGTTATAAGTAAGTATTTTTTCATGCTTTGTTCTTTTATACCTTATGCTTTGATTGTTTTCATCTGCCTTTCTTTATTATGCATCCATACCTAAAATAGTTTTCTTATTTTTATTTTAACAGAAAATATGGTGAAGGTGAATAGCTAACTGCCTCCTCCTCGACCACCCAACGTAACGAAAATAACTTCATTCAATTCGGCTCTGCTATTAGATGTCTTGGAATATATCAAGCACAAAAGAATGTAATAACAACAGCAACAACTAACTACCCAAAGTTTAAAGCCCACTTTATTGTCCCATAGTTTGGTTTAGCTTTTTCCATCATCGTTTGGGTTCGTTCGTTTACCTACAGCGCATTCATGAGGATTTTTGTTGTATAGCACGAATGCGAGTTACTTGGATGTGAGAAAAAAATAGAAGGTAGCCGCCTGCCCCTTATTTTTGCAAGCATTTTATTAGGTGTGTACATATATTTTTTTTTTGCTAGTGTATATCTTTTGTATTATTTTACATTGTTGGTTTTGTGAGCGTGCGTTTGTATTTGCAAATTTTCATGCCTGCGCACAAACACTTTAGCATCAGAATTTAAGCACACGGCTAATCAGGGTTGCTTTTTCCCATTTATATTCCATAAATGAATGCATATGTATGTATGTATGTACATATGTACACACAATGAGCAAATTGTTATGAATAAAAATTAAGTTGATTTCAAACTCGGAATTGATTACATTTTTAGTATAGAAAAAACCTTTTTTTTATCACTTCGGAGCGTAAAATTTTTATGTATTTTAGAAATGCAATCTGAAAACTATTTTCACCACCTTGTAGTTACATGTAGCTGGAAAAAGCTTTTTATCCTCATCAACCAGGATATTTTTGTAAATTTAAAATTTTTTTCAAGGAGTTTTTTTTTATAAAAATATTGTCCAAACTTTAACCACAACCATACAAATCAAAGTTTCCAATTTTAAACAAAATTTAGGAACATTCAACAAATTTCCATCGAAAATTTCAAATTTTTTAATCTGAAGTCCATACAATCTTCGGCATTTACTTTTACTACTTTAAAGTGTGACATATGTATGTATGTAGCTATAAACGTTCTTTTTTCAATGAGAAAATTTTGAATGATATGTTCATCGCCATTTGGAACATGCACTTTTATTTCAATGCTTTCTGTCCAAAGAGATTTTTACCATGAAAGTTGGCAAGTACGCTTTTTTTGTAAAACTTTCTTCCCTGAATAAACAAAGTCTTTCAAACTAACGCGCCTAAATATTACTACTATCTTTCAATTGTCTTACAGAAGACTATCAACTATCTTAGAAAAAGTAGTCCTGTTAAGCTCATCAAAAATCATTCCACTTTTGTTAAGGAAGTATTCTAATTATTTCAGTAAAACTATTGTAAAAAAAGTAATACGAATTGTATGCATAGTAGGTGGATATCAGATTATAGTTATGTATGTTGACGCAAATTAACTCGATACTCATGCTTGACAAGAAATAAATACGAACGCAGAATAGCAACCGAACAAATCAAACGTATGTAGGAATACAAAAATGTTGGATGAAAAGAAGTAGAAAATGGGTGATAAAAATAAATAAAAACCACAGAATAAAATACATACATTTAAGGCAATAAGTATACGCCAGTTGACAACTAATTAGAAACACTGCTTTGCCAGGCCGAGCAGCTACAGAGCATTTATCGCTACAGATAAAAGGCTCTTGTGGTATTCCCGTCATCCATGCAAAACGTACTCAGTGGGTCCTGGATGACCCAGATAGAGATAGAGAGGCTATCTCTCTATACACCGACGGATCTAAGATGCATTGCAGTGTGGTAGCGGAAATTCTAGCTATCCTTGAATCCTGCAAAATCTTTGGTAATATAGTCGCGTACAAGAATAAAACAAAAATATACTCTGACAGCCAGGTGGCGCTATTGGCAATAGCATCACCGGTTACCAAATCTAAGCTAGTTAGCGAATGCAAAATGGTACTGCGTTCAGGGCCCCAGCCAACTACCGTCTCTCTTGTCTGGGTCTTGGACATAGGAACATAAAAGGCAATGACAAGACTGATGAATGAGCGAAGGCAGGCGGTGGTTTGTATGAATACCAAGCATTGCCCCCTTGAAATAGTCCAAAGAGAGATTACCACGCATTTTCTTGAACTGGCTTGACACAAGAGGTCCGATATACAGATCTGTTGTATATCAAAAAAATTCTGGGCTAACTACAACAGGATGAAGACCTTCGATCTGCCAAACGTTTCTAAATTGTTTTCAGCGGGTGTGTTTAGGTATGTACTTAGTTTACACATAAAAAATTCATACAAGTCCCTAACAGGCGCCACTAACCGCACAAAAGTGAGTTGACTAAGTAAATGAAGTCAATGGAAGTCGGTGGAAGGTGTAGACGTGGGAGGTGGGAGGCGGCCTTTTTAAAGAAGGAAAAAGCGAGAGATAATCATTGGTGTTGGCGACGAGCATTTATCGTCACCAATAAGTTGACAGAGCTCAGCTAGCAGGGACTTTGTGTACACACCAAACTTATGCTGGTTGGTTAGTGGATGAAGAAATGAGCACATTTGGGGTTTTCGTTAGATGATGGAGAGGGTTCGGGGGCATTGTCGATGAAAATGTAATATGCGAAAAGAAAACCAAATAAAAGATTAAAGAAGAAAAAGAGCACATTTGAACGATACAGCGGAATAAGTTGAAAGAAAGAAAGCAATAGGTATGTACATACACACATACATACATACATATGCAACCATACACACATACCTAAAAACAAAGATGCAGACAAAACAACTAAAATAAAAGGAAATATTTTTCTTTCGCAGCAAATTTTCCGCATTATACGCTTGGCTTACTCATCGAGCGATTTATTCATATACTTTTTCATATAAATTCATACTTATGAAGGAAGCATTTTCTTCGTGGCAATAGAAGCTTGTAGATATGTACATATGTACATATGTATGGGCGCAGCACCTTGACTGTCACAATGCGAGCGTGTAGCGTGTGAATGCGCCAACGCTCCACTGAGTAATGACTGCAGAACGAGTGCGCGATGCTGCTAATGGGGGAGCAGCGCCTGTATTATTGATACGATGTTGAGCCACACCGCAGCCGGACGAAGTGGCAATAGTAAGTAGCAAACAAAAGCAAGCAACTAATCGAAAAAGTGATACAAAATTGACACAACAACCAAAACAAAGAAAAATTTAGTTAGCTGTTTGGTTCACCATGGGACGGACCATTTACCAGTTACAGAGGTGGTCGAACAACCGACGCAGCTACACAATGACGATGCACAGTCTACAAAATGTAACAGGAGCTGAGTTGTGGACAAGCAGTTGCTTATTACAACAAATGCGAATATTATGGATAAATTCGCTATAGAAAGGTTTGTGTGCGCGTGTACATATTCAAATGCACAAGTACTGTCTAAAAAGAGTGTGCCAACTTTATAAACCTGATCGTGAAATTTAAATGCAGTTGAGTGTGTACATATGTATGTACATTAGGGTGGTCCTGAAAAGAGCAAATGAGCGAGTTTTTTCTGTCTCACCTCCTCAATTTGTAATACCATTGTCACACATAGCACATACAAAATTTGGTTCCGGTTGAAGACGGTTAAGACGTCTCGCACAGGGGACAAAGTTCAAATTCCTCAATGGAGACTCAAAAAAATTAAAATAATTTTTTTTTTTCATATAATACCCAAAATCCATACAACCATAGTCGAAGATATCACCTATAAATTTTGGTGCCAATTGGAGTCGGTTAAGGCGTATCGCAAACGGGTCAAAGGCCAGATGCCTCTATGGAGACTCAAAAAATTAAAAATATTTTTTTCATTTAATACCTAAAATCGATGCTACTTAAGTCGAAGATATCTCATATACATTTTGGTTGAGGCTTAGGAAATCTGATGTAAAAATTTGGTGCCTAAATTTAGGGTCCACCCTAATGTACATGCATCTACATTGAGGTGATCCAAAAAAAAGTAGTAAGTAGGAATTTTAATGCTCCACCCCTTAGGCTTGCTTTTTTTTAATTGAAATCAAAATATATTTAGTGCTTGCTCAAAGCAAAAATGGTATTCATTCTATATATTTTTCAATCCGCAATCTTTGTTTCTCTTCAGGAGATTTCAAAGTATAATACCCAATTATCCTTAATCCTATAGGGTGAGAACATTAAAATTCCGACTTTTTTACCACCCTAATGTACAAACGAAACAAAGTTCGCCGCACACCACGTGTATAAAGTATTTTTGCAAGGCTATTTCAAAAGATTTTTTGGCCGAAGATAGGCGTCGCCCTTTAAAATTTTTCGTCATACCTTCGGCATTTATAGTCGGATCTCAAAGTGTGATATATCGATGGTCCTGTCTCTAACAGGTTGCACATTTCACGGAGCACAGTTTTGTTACCAGCTTGTGAGATTGTAACAAAATTAAACGGTTACAAAGGTGCACAGCGTGTGAAAAGTGTTTAAAAATTTACAGGCACTTTATTTACCGGTTACAAAATTCTTGTTACCAGCGCAGAAAAGACCTGTAAGACAGTCTTTTTTCAAAGTTCATTGACATCAAGTGCACCGTTCTAGTGCTTACCTACCAAAACTCAGTTCTTACATCCTAAGGTACCAGGCTAATGCCATTAAATATTCCCATTTTAACAATAGAACTATTTGAAAAAAAAAACGTATGTATGTCAGCGTCTCCGAAAAATATAAAAAGGGGTCCCTAGGTTCGGCCACAAACATTTTTTTTTTCGGAAGTGCCATGCAAAAATACTTCAGACTCAGGAAAGATGGCGAGCTTTGTTTGGCTAGTAAGGTGGTACGGTCTAACGTAGCGATACGAATATATAAAAATCATTCAACATTAGGCGGTGGAGGATACCAGGAGAAATTCAAACCACTTTCATTGAACGAATACTTGATTAAGGTCTAGAACAATTTTAGAGCATTTTAAAGGCACTCCTAAAAGGGAAAGTCCGATTGTTTGAAAGCTTGTTTGGACTTTTTAGGTAGCGCGGAGGTCAATATATTTTGAAGAATAGTGCTTATGGTCCCATTGGTGTCAAATTTAGAAAATAATCAGAAACATTAACTCTAAAAATTACGCGCCGATGGTGACGATGGAAGAGCGATACAAATATCAATAACACTTTAAATTTAAAATTAAATTTTCAAATTATTTAATACGATTTTGCAATGATGTATTGCATCCAAGTCCCACGTTGTAGGTATATCTCTTGCAAAACAAAAAATCTGAACACCTCCATAATATGCAATCCAAAAGTCTGACCATTTATACAATTTTTCAAAAATACATTGATTTAAGCGCCACCTGGCTGATGCAAACAAATTCCAAAACCCTCAAGAATAGATCCTTTCCATATTCTTCTTCTTGTTTAGCGCTAGAAATCTTTGTCCCATGCAAAGTTATGCTAATTGTCCATACCAAATTGAGACTCTACCGATGGGTGCCAATCCAAGACTCTTTTGATTGGAGAATAATCATCCACGGGGACCACCTGTCCAAGTCAACACAAGCGTTGAATGTTAATGCAATTCACTTTGTTCATGCCATTACAAAACTCGTAGAGTTCGTCATTTCATCTTATTAGGTACACGTCGACCACACGAGTATGACATCGTCGACCTTTCTGCGCCATATAAAGGGGCATGTGTAAGGAATGTGATTTTTGTTCGTCGATAGCCTACCGTATGACCCGATATGCGAGCACTATTTGTGTATTGCCAGGAGGTGCTTTGTGTTGTTCCCGTTCACCGCTCTCGTTGATCTGCGTAAGCCAGCAGCATCGTTTACACCTTCCAACATCACGTTTTAGAGTTCGGACGAGATTGAGTCGCCTTATCTAAAACTTGGTTTAATCTTCCAACAGCGCGGTAGGTCCTTCTCAATTGCGACGATGCTGAGGGTTGTACTCAACGCCACTCTACATACCAGTATTAGTTTTACAGGGCTGAAATCATACTGATATAAGTAAGACTCAATCAGTTAGTTCATGAAGGGCTGCAGTCTTTTACATAGTGTCGTCGATATCACCTTATAAACAATATTAAGAAGACAGATCGAGGGTCTTCAGGCGGGTATTGAGTAGACCAAATTACGCTAAGCAGTTGGTACATGTACCCTATCAGCTCTTCGCCGTCGACTCAGCCGGTATTTTTTCGGCTTCAGGGTCTTGCTTTCAAGACGTATAATTACTGTTCTCGCCAAGTCTTACCCTGGACTGGGGGGCCACGAGCTTCGTTCCCTATACATTGATCTAGGTTCTTCTTCATCAAACGTAGCACTAGTGCCGTTATTCCAAAGCGTTCTAGTTTCGCCTTTGCGCGAACCAGCTTTTCCCTCCTTCTCTCTTGGTATAATTGAACTGTCTCAGATCAACGGACCACCTCTTCCAAATCAGTACGAAAAGGTTCGGAGATGGAAACCCACTGCCCACTGGCGCCATGGCGGTGTGGAGTTGCTTTTTTACAACGGCACCTTTTCGACGTCTTCAACAAAGTAGTGGCTCCGAGTTATTGTTGGTTCCTCGGATGAAGCGGACGACAAGAATGCTCAACGAGTATCTTCTCTCTTATACAACCGCGATTAGTTTGAGTTCTGGTACTTTGGGAACAACCAAGTGGCTTTGTAGATCTTTCAGTGCTGATGTTTGGTACTAAATACTAACTAACATGGTCTGTGCCACGGTAAAGTCTATCAACTTCTCGCCGTTGTCGGAGTAATGCTTATGCGTAAAGACAAAAGTTTCCCACAGTAGGAACGAATTTGCCTAGTTACTTTACCTAGTTACCCTGGCATTCAGATAATGAATAATTTTAAACAAAAGTTTCTTCCTAAGAATGAAGTAGGGATCAAAAACACGATAAAGGTGGATGGATATGGATGTCTTAAAACCCAAAGCTTCAAGAATTCAAGATTCAGTTTTATCTTGTATTTATTAAGTTAAGTTAACTTATAAGTTTGCACTAAATATTTCATTGTGCGTCTGTTTGTTTGATCAAAAACAGAGGAAAAAATCCATCCGAAATTTTACCTCGATTTTTTTTTAGGGCACCACAAAATATAAGCTATACTGTTTTTTTTTCTGGTGGATACTACATAGAACGGAATCGGGGGAAATGTCCAACACTTACCTTCCTCAACTGTCCGCAGCCAACAGCAGCAGCTGTTCAACCACCGTACAGTGGTGAAATGCCGTTGTGCCTGCCATTGAACAGGTTCGCAGCAATGATGTGGAGCCAAACGCAAACGGCGATGTTTACAAATACACAATATTTTTTCGTATAAGTATTAGTATGTATACTTAAATAAATTGCCACATCCAATAACACTGTTTTATTTTTGTTTCTGCTTACATATATTGTTTTGCTGTTTTTTTTTTTACTCGATTTTCACAATTTCTCTACACTAGCATTTAGTATATGTACATATACACACATATGTATGTACATATGTATGTAGATTTCTGCACATTACAAGATAATTAATTTCACTTTGAACTTTGATATTACGAGTACATATTTGAAATCACACTCACTTTATGTCAATCACTACAACATTTACAATATGCTGATACTGGAAAAATCGTTTCGAACACGAAGCAATATGCAGTGGAAAAAGTTTACATGCACATATCGCATACATATGTATGTACATTTGTATATTTGTTTATAAATTGCAATATAAATTGTGTTAATTATTGCAAAATACGTTGTATGCCGAGCAGCTGTAATTCAAAAAGTTATGACAGTATACATACAAAAATACATACATACATATGTACGTATTTTTGTGCTGGCTGGCGTAGATTGCTGACTGCCTGGTTGGCTATTCGTAGGGTTTGGTAACTAGCTTTTGTTGTTACTGCTCTTTAACTGTTCTATTGACTATATATTTATTGTTAAATGCGAATGACAAATCGTATAGATTAAATAAATAAATAAATAAAAATCGTATAGATTTGCGTGAGAAACAAGCAGTGATGTTAGCGTGATTGAATTAAGTGTATGTATGTAAGTGTGCTGTGTTAGGGTGGTTGTTTTTTGATTCGCTATGTTTCGCAAGGAAGCATTCATTTCGGAAGGCAGATTTTGATATTTTGAAGCGTCTTTTAATCATTACAGGGCAATTCTGGCTAAAATAGTAAAAAGTCTTTCGTAAGACAAATAAAAGCCAGATGGCAAGATAGTTCGAAATACTTTTGTTATTCTAGCAAAAAAGTCTTAGAAAAAAGCTCTCTCATTCACCACTCGTGGTGAAAAGCCATTTTGAGAGAAAGCATTTGTATATCATTTAGCTCGCGTTCGGAATATATATTTTTTTATAACCTTGCACCACGTTAACCGATTTCTATAATTCTTTTTTTTTTTAATGAAATGTGTTGCCTCACAGGTGGCCCATATTAAATCCGATCATTGGATCATGAAGAAATTAACGATAATCTTAAATTTGTAGTATATGAGAATTGAAGTCGGTTTTGTTTTTTGCTTAAAAATTACTCGTGCTAATCTTCATTTCTTTCTATTTTAATTAAGTTTTTCTGATTTTGTAATTAATTTAAAACTTAATTTTTTGAAACTTATTTTAACGAAAATATTTTCTTTTCTTTTTTAATTTAATCTCTTTTCTATTTAATTTTCTTTGATGGTTTGGTTGTTATTGTTTTTAAAAGA